AAATACTTGGTAGATATTTTAATTATTACAACGACATGATTGTATGTTATTGGACACGAAGTGGACATAACGATCGTTTCGATATTATGTTGTTGTTGTTGTTGTTCTTGTTCTTTGACACGTTTTTAAAAAGTCGCTTTTCTCTTCGAATACTGGACCAATTGCTTTGAAATTTTCAGTGGTTAAAGATTAATTTTTTCGCTAGAAGGCTATTACTTTTATTTATTTCAAAATTTTGCGTGAATTCTATGAAATTTGATATTTCGTCTAAAATTTTGCTGTATTATTTTTTATCCATGGGAACACGGATTTTAGTCAGTGTCATGACTGGCTGTACGTTTTGATTCTGCAAAATTCTTGCTACTGGAAATTCAGAACTTTTTTGAGGGTACCGGTAGCGTCAAAGGTACCGGTAAGGACTGATTCGCTCTGGTCTAACGTGTCCATATATTTGTGCGTAGCTCTCTTGTTTTTTATTGCAATGACCAGACCCTGAAAATATAGAATCGATCACTCAGATAGTTTGCTGAGCGTTCAGACACAAAAAGAAACATGTTTCATCAGTAACCAACCCAGACAAAAAAAGTCACATGTCAGAATTCAGATTATATGGCTCCAATAAAGGAAATAACTCGACATTTAGTGGTCAAAAAACAAGATGGCGGCGATTCGAAATTTTCGTTTAACCGATTCGAATAATTTAAAATTCGATTCGAATATCCTATTTATTTCTAAGCACTAGTCATGACGACATCACTGACTATAAAATTCCCTCCTACAAATAAAATCACTAAAAAAAGTTCGTTTTGTATATTTTATTATATCTTAGCGTCGATAACTACTAAAGCAATTTCTACTGAATAAATTCTAAACATTGCACTAAAATGATTTCAAAGCTTGCATTAAAACTGATAGCACTCCTACATAATTGTTTTATAATACCATATCTCAAATATGACGTCATATACCAGTGACGTCATCGAAATTTGACGTCGTCAGTTTGAATATACATGAAGAAGATAGATAGATCATGGTTGCGCTGCTGATTTTTATAATTTACTAACTTTCTTTACAAAAATATTTTTCAATCACTGGCTAATCGAAAGTGTATTGAAATAATTACCGGGGTTTAAATCACTCGTAGTTATGATTTCAATGAGGAGGCGTCGAATCAGGAAATCGTGTCGACATGCTATAAAATATGAAGCTACAGCATAAAAAGTGACGTAGCAAAACTGACATGTGACGTCATAACACAAAGGGTGACCTTGAAAAAGTTACATGTGACGTCAGAATGAAGAATGACGTCATAATACTTGGTTGAGCAGTAAAAAGAGGGAAGGTTAACTTTTTTAAAATTACACCGTCATTTATTCGGTTACACTTTATAAAATTCAACTTAAGCTTGCTGGCGGAAATTATGAATAATTTTTGTTGGTATCCCGAACATTTTATTGCCAAAACCACATAAAATTTATTTTCCGTTTTTTCTAAACCGTTCTCACTGAGCTTTAATCCATTTTTGATTACGTCATTTTGGTGCTGTGACGTCATATTTGATTTTCGTATACAGTTTTGCCTATTGGCGCATGTTAATGAGATCATCATTGGGATAATGATTACAATACATAACATTGATTGGCGGCATATAATTATAGCAAGCATTCGAACAAGGTTTGCATTCAACTGAGCGTTCGCGGCAATGGGTATTGCGGAAATAGCATAAAACTAACTCTATCTATATTAGAAGCTTAAAATGTTCGCGGTTATGGTCAATCTTTCTTCTTCTTTTCGAAATCGAATGAATTCTTTTAAGAAATCCTCATTTCGCTGAGGAATGGATTGACATTGATTATTCGCTATTTGATTAAGCTTTTCAGATTCGCTGTTTGACTAAGTATAATATATTAATAGCTATTGCTTCTACTTAAACATTTGAACAATGAATACACCAATACCACCACCGAGAGAAAAAACACCACGCAAAGCAAAAAAATCATCTACAAAATCACCAAAAGAAATAAGACAACAGGCTGAGGCTCAATCTGAAGAATATATATCCAAGACCGATTCGCCACAATACAATGAAATTGTGAGTGGAATATTGCCTGTTATATCAAGGAACATCATAAATGCAATAACTTTACAACTGCCAGCAATGATAGGTCAATGTCTGGAGGAAAACCTGGAACACTCAGGCAACTCCGACATCCTCACCCCCATAACACCTAACATTCAGGATATTCTTAATGATCTGGGCCAATCCATGAGGGAAATTAGAACCGAACTATCAGAAATTAAAGAAAGTCAGACATTCCACACCAAAATGTATGATGATCTGGCAGAAAGAAATAAAACTTTAGAAAAACAAACAATTGAAAACAAAAAAACAATTGATAATCTCTTAGAAAGAATATATGATCTTGAAGACGATTTGTTCTATGTCTCAGAAAAAGTGGAAGATCAGGAGAGAAGGGGACGTCTGGAGAATCTTGAGTTTCATGGGATTCCTGTAAAACAAAATGAGGACACAGATGAAATTGTTTGTAACATTGCGAAGATGATGGGTGTCGACATCAAAGCCACTGATATTTCTGTATCTCATAGGATGCCAACAACGGGGGCAGAAACAAGATCTCCAGCTATAATCGCCAAATTTGTACACCGGAAAAACAAAATCAAAATCTTTGAAAAACGAAAATTTCTACGCTCAATGACACCGAATACCATTTTCAGTAATCCATCAAAAATTTTCATTGCTGAAAATCTGACAGCCCTCAATAAGGACTTGTATTTTAGAGCACGAGCTGCAAAAAACAACTGCGGCTATAAGTTTATTTGGACATCAAATGGGAGAGTATTTGTGAAGAAAAATGCTGAGATCAAAAACTCTTTGAACATTCGTCATGAAGATGACCTTTCTAAAATTCAATAACTTATATGTGAGTGTACCTTTTATTCATTTATTTTCCTAGTTAATCAATACCGAACTAACATGTTATTCATGTAAAAACTTACTAATATCGTGCCAACCAAAACTAACCTGTGAGATATGTGGGTCCAATTTCCATCTTGAATGCTCCCATTTTTGCCAACCGTGCTCAGTTGCATCACTGCCCCATCAGTCATCTAATCAGATTCATGGTGCACTTGCGTTCAATTCTAAAATTTTGCATGAAATAAGTAGATGTGAATGTAAAAAAGTAGAAGTGCCAAATTTAAAAACAACTAGTAAATCTTTTAAAAAAAACTGTCTTATTGCATTTCATATAAATATTCGGTCTCTTCAAAAAAACCATGATAATTTAGTGAACTTACTATCTGAATTTATTACCCCCCCTGACCTCATTGCGATATCCGAAACGAGACTTGGTATTAATCCAATCTCAAACATCTCCTTACAGAACTACGAGTTTGTTCATAAGCCCTCCAAAACAAGTGCTGGTGGAGTAGGACTGTATGTGAAGCAAGGCTTAGTCATCACTGAAACTCAGGATTATGATTTGAATCACCCAGACTGTGAGGATTTGTGGATAAACCTTAAACTGAGTCCAACTGTTACATTCATAATTGGAATAATTTACAAACATCCCCGAAAAGACATTCCCAAATTTACAGAAAAATTATCCAACAGTTTAGAAAATTTAAATAAAGAAAAGAAATTGTTTATCTTACTAGGAGATTTCAACATAAATTTACTAAGTCCAACAACAGATCTGGCAACTATGAAATACATCGATATGCTCCTAGCAAATTTGTCACTGCCCTTAATTACCTCGCCAACAAGGGTAACTCGTTCATCCAGTACACTAATTGACAATATTTTTACAAATGCGATAAAATTTGACCTAATGAGCTTCATTATTCTTAGTGACATCAGTGATCACTATCCACAATTCTGCACAGTCTATGATTCAAAATTTAAAGGGGGTCAAGATCAAGATAAAATATTGAAACGAGATATGAAAAACTTTTCTATTGATGCCTATAGAACCAATTTAGAATCTTCTCTTAGCCCAATCTCAAATTGCCAAATCACTAGTGATAACTTGAATACTCTATTTGAAACATTCATAGAAATAATTCGGACAACTATTGATGCTCATGCGCCTTTGAAAGCAGTAAGTCGGAGCGAAGCCAGATTTCTAGCCAAACCTTGGCTCACTAAAGGGATTCATGTTTCTATTAGAAAGAAGCATAAAATGTACAAAACCCACTTCAAAAAAGGTAACGATATTCAACATAGATCATACAAAACTTACAGTAAATTATTAAAAACCCTAATAACTAAAGCAAAAAAATTATATTACTTCGATAAATTTAAACAAACTTGTGGTGATATTAAATCTACTTGGAAGTTGATAGGACACTTGGCCAATATCAAAAAAGAAAGAAAACTTGCAATCAAAGAGCTAAAAACTGAAAATGGGTCGATGGTATGTGATCCAGTCTGCATTGCTAACTATCTCAACAATCATTTTACCTCTATAGGGCCACAACTGTCTGAAAGTATACCTCAGTCTAATGAGTCTTTTTCGACTAATCTCAAAAATCCAGTGAAAGAATCCTTATTTCTTAGACCAGCAACATTCAATGAAATCTTTAGCACTATAGCTATGCTACCGGATGGTAAAGCGGTTGGGTATGACAATATACCAGCTAAATTTTTAAAAAATGCTGCTGATATAGTGTCCCCTATGCTTTGCAAGTTATTTAATGCCTGCATAGACTGCACCATTTTCCCGAATTGCTTGAAAATTGCCAAAGTTACTCCTGTATTCAAAAGTGGGCAAAAAGAATGTGCATCCAACTATCGACCTATTTCAGTTCTTTCGGCCTTAACAATAGTATTTGAAAAACTTCTACACACCAGACTTATACAATTTATAGATAACCATAGCATTATAAACAAATCCCAATTCGGTTTCCAAAAAAAGCACTCTACTAATCATGCGATTCTTGACATGGTTTCTTACTTTTATGACGAATTAGATAAAAAGAGCATATTAGTGCCATATTCCTCGACCTAAAAAAGGCATTCGACACCGTTGATCATAACATATTAGTTAAAAAGATGTGCCACTATGGTATTCGCGGACATGCATCAAAATTATTCCAGAACTACTTGAGCTCACGTCAACAATATGTCAAAATAGGATCACATTGTTCTAAACTTGAAACTGTACAGTGTGGAATTCCACAAGGATCGATAATCGGGCCAGTAATGTTCATACTCTTTGTCAATGATCTCCCTCATGCCACTAACCTACTTGTGAAACTCTTTGCTGATGATACTGGACTATTCGGAAGTTCAGCTTCATCAAATGATTTGGAACTGTACATGAACTCTGAAATGCAAAAAATCACATCTTGGATGGCTAGTAATAAACTTACTATAAATATTGAAAAGTCCAAATCTCTATTAATTAGCCATAATAAAAATGAAAAAAGTAAGCAACTGATTCAGATTTTTATTAATGACATTCCACTCGAGAATGTCAATTCTTATAAGTACCTAGGTATATATATAGACAATAAGTTGAAATGGGCATCACATATCAACTACATAGCCAGCAAGCTAGCTAGAACAGCGGGAATATTATTTAAATTAAAAACATTTCTTACCACATCAGCTATGCGATTAGTTTATTTTTCCCTATTCCAATCATATCTCCAGTATGGCATTGTTGCATGGGGAAGTGCATCATCCACACTGATTCGCAGACTTGAGGTGCTGCAAAATAAATCAATCCAAGCAATTGGTAACGCACCTCTACACACCAGACTTGATCCTTTGTACCATAGATTTAACATTATAAAACTTCACCATGTCCATGAATTTGAGATACTGAAACTCATGCACCAGTACTTCAACGACAAACTTCCAAAGGCATTTGTAGGGTATTTTACTAAACAGACTGCAGTCCATTCATATCGCACTAGATCTGCCTCGCAAGGTGCCTTATATGTCCCAAGATATACATTATGCTCAACACAAAAATCTATAAAGTATATGGGTGTGAAGTTGTGGAATGATTTACCAGGTACCATAAGATCACTGTCATATCATGGTTTTAAAAGAGACCTGAAAATAAAATATATTGATAATTACCTTTCTGGAAGTTGATCATCTGAAAATTTAATGACCAATTCTAATCTGCTGCCGTTTCTTAACATCTGACTCACGACAGCATGTGACCTTGGCTTGTTATTCTTGACAACGCTGATCCCAGCTCGAGCGATTCAGAGGTGCACGGAGTCCTTATTTTTCAAAATCGCTGCTTGGTTGGCAACGATTATGCCGTTATGTGCCATTGAGGTGTTATATACACCTCAATGTTATGTACATGGTCTAAAAACCTAATTGTATGTTTATTAGAGTTTCATCTACTTTTATTACGATTGGTTTCTCTTTGAATTTGGATTTTTTTCTCCTTCATATATATATATATAGAAGTTTGTAATAGCTATTTGGTGGTTTTTCATGTTTTTCAAATTTGTTATATACACATATTATTCAATTGTTTGATGTCATGTTTTTTTATGTTTTGTAAATAATAATGATTAGAAGCATAGGCGTTAACTAAATTTATTTATTAAGCTGAATCAGCATCGTAGGTGTCGCTGCTCGAAGACCCTTCGGGGTCCCTCGCGACTCCTGTCACACATATGAAGTTCTTTTTTTTACTTATTATATATCTTGCCATATTTCCGTGATATATATATATTGATTGTGTTGACGAATAAATGATGATTGATTGATTGATTGATTGACAATACATATACACCTGTGTATAAAATTTAAGAAAGATTTTAAATTGTTGCAAAAAATTTTCCCAGTCGGGGGGGAATTTTGTCGTTTTTGTCTCCAACTACTGATATTATTTATTTACTTATTAATACATTATAAACAACTTGAACTGTATAAAAGCGGGAATGCAAGCTGTGCATAGTTTTATTCAGGGTGTCTCAATAGTAAGTATACACTTTTGATTTGCTTTGCAAGTACTTATCATAAAGCGTTCATTTCTAAACAAACCTAGTATGAATGAGTAGTAAAATTTTGATATTATTTGCATATTGTTTGCAAAATTTAAAAGTCTATACTTACTTTTGAGACACCCTGTATATATACATATGAATATACGATAATGTAAATCTCAGTATTTGAATGGAAACTTGTGGAGAATAAGAACTCTACTGACAGAATTGAAAACCACTGGCATGGAGCGAAGTCTCCCAACCTTTTTTTTTAAACAATCAAAATTTTGCATTATCTCGCGACACAAGGATATCCCCCAATTTGTTTAAAGCAAAGGGTGAAAACGCCTGATAAAATATCATAACTTACGCCTCGTCGGGAATGAATCCATCAGAACATGTGTTCTTGCATCCAACTCCAACTGGCGCGGCCTGTAAAAAAATTTAATATTTTGATCAAATAGTTGGAGGGGGGACTGGAAAAGTTTCTTTCTGGGGAAATTACCAACCGCGGGTCCGACTGCCAACAGTTGAAATTACGACTATATAGTTTTTATGCATATAAATTTGCGTTAAAAGTTTCGATAAAAATACCGAATAGTCGGCCAAAATATATACTGTAATTCCTCATGTATTATCTTCACATGAATATGGTGTGTCATTTGGTAACGGCCGTGGTTCGCCATATGATTAGGCAGTACTACTGGCTTTCCCTCTCTTTGAGATAAATCTGAAATTATTATTCTATCCTAGTAAACACTTACCTGGGTTAACATAACAAAACTGCAAAGTAGGCAAAGCATTGCGAATGCAATATTGTACAAAGTTTTCCACATCATTTTTATCGCTTGTTTTTTTTTGGTGAAAATCGGAATTAGAAGTTAAATTATAGAAAGTAATTACTTAGATCTGAAAAGAGAATATGAAAAAAAATAAATAATAATAACAATCATGAATTGAATGTATGGAATGGTGCAATATTATCAATAAGCGTTTGACCCTCATCTCATCCAAAGGCGTAGCCAACACCAATTTTATTTTATTTTTGGGCGGAGGGGGATTTTTAAACGACAATTACTCTCAGTCTATCCGCCTTTTCAATCGCTCGGAACAAGGCTGGATGAAAGCAGCAACTGATTTCTAACAATATCTAAATAAATATTATTACAGACCTCCTTCGGTGTCAAAGTTATCCGAGCTATACAGACGCGCAAAAGTCGTCTATCTCGTTTGTCTGAAGGAATAATTAATAGTGAGCTAAAAAACGTCGGGTTATCAGTGAATCGCTCACGAATAGGGAAAAATAGTGTTAAAAAAGCTTTACTGCCGCTAAATAGCACTTAAAAATACGTACGTAACCCTGACTAAGCTTATGATTTCATCCCAATGACCCTGTCCGAATCCCATTACATATAAAGCAAGTTGGATTTTTACCTGAATTTTTAGTTGCCGTAAGGGGGTTGTTCTACGTCTTCTATCACAGTGTAAATAAATTTCATGCAATAAGCAGTGTTTTATTCTAAATTTTAATGTATATTTATATAGCGAATCTTTTGTACCAACCCCGCCAAAAAATAACGCTACTCTCGAAGTATGTGAACCAAAATGGCGGACACCGGAACGTAGTATGTGTACTAGGTTTGGGTTGGGCCATAATTTCAGGTACAAATACTACGGGAGTCACTTGACTAGTGCCCGAACTCGTAATATAACTGAAATAAGGAAAATTGGAATAAAATTATTGCCTAATCCTAACCTGGTACACACACTACGTTCCTGTGTCCGCCATTTTGGTTCACATACTTCGGGAGAACCGTTTTTTGGCGGGGTTGGTACAAAATATTCGCTATCTAAATATACATTACAATTTAAAATAGAACACTATCCCTTGCAATAAATTTATTCACACTGTGATTGAAGACATAGAACAACCAACCCCCTTGCGACAACTGAAAATTCAGATGAAATCCCCCTCGTTTTATCTGTAATGGGGTTCGGACAGGGTAATTGGGGATGAAATAACACCCCAAAAAACACCCCCGCCAACTCTCAAAATAAGAAAATTATCCAGTTGGGATTAGAAATGCAGATTACACTAGAAATTCGAATCATTCCTAACGCTAACTGAATATTTACTAATTTGTTCGGGTTTACTAATAATTTACTAATTTATTTACTAATCTTAAAACGTAGCGTTTTTTTTTCTCAAACTCACATTTTTGCATTAGTGGCGTGGACTTTGTACAAAACATCCCAGATTGCTTATAGATTGACAATCAAAATCCATCCTTCGGTTTCATTTCAAACTCTATAACAGCTGACTTACTGGGCCCAGTACAACAACAAGGCGAAAAATCCCATAAGGCTTCATTGTTCCGCGTTGAAAAATTGTGACAAAATGACGTCCATTGCCGAGACCAACATTAAGTCGCCGCCGGTTGGATCACGTAACCGTAGGTCTGTTTTTATTCATTTTTTTGTATTTCTTGTGCATTAGCTATCTGGGAAGTCCTTATATAATTGTTCGCCCCCCCACCCCTTAAAAAAAATAATTCTGTATCATACATATCTACTTTTCGTAGATTGAAACGCTCTTCAAGCCATAATAAAGACTTAAAACTCGGACCCCATAGCCCTACTTGGCAATTTGGAATTTCAGTATCTTCATTTGAAAAGTCCTCACCCCAACTTAATTTCTATTCAAAGTCAAGTTTTTTTTCCAACTAGTAAAAAAATCACTCCAGCACAAATTACGATAAAATGATAACTACAGGGTTGTACTTGGGAAAGAAAGTCGCGATGAACCAAAGTTGGTTATCGAGCAACGACACCCAAGATTTAAATATCTAATCTGAAAAGTTTGGAATTATAGAGTTTTGATACTTCACCAAACTCCGCACCCCCTTAATCACAGCTAAACAAAACATCGTCTGCTCTGGGCGGAAACAAAGTTGTTCTATCGTCGAAATCCACGTAATATCACGTTTTATAAGCCCTTTTTACTTTCTATAAAATACTCCTTTCTTTATCTTTACTTTTAAAACAGATCAGAAAAAGTTACAAGCATTTTGAAGGTAATTTTAAGTTGGGGTATGACGTGTTATACTCGTTTGAGCATCGTTTCTCAGCCAGGGAGAAACGCTCTTCGCCGAGAGAGGAAATTGAATGCTTTTGGGGAGAAATTTTACTTTCTAACTTTACGTTGCGCGTAGCATTACTAATATTGTTTACCTACTTACGCTTAGTATAACTTTAATGCATATATATATATACGCTGACATTATACAACTATTAAAAATGTGCAATATACCGAGTGCGAATTGCACGCATCGCAAGAGAAGGTGCCTTTTTCAATGACCCGCGAATTTCGGAAGAGCGAGTCCGCAACGGCGAGTTTTGTAAATCAATTTCATGGCTGTAATAAACCTAGAGAAAAAAGATTTTCCATCCATTTTTCACTGCTTTACTTAGACTCGAGATATTAAAATTGTTATTTTATGTCAATTTGTGTATTTTACAGATTATCCCTACTTGAAATCACTTAATAAATGTTTTCTTATGCAAGATCCGTGAGAGACAACAACACAATAACAAGACGGCTGAAGTCGAATCGGCGTGTTTTTCTATTCGTATACGATGGACGTTGTACATAGCATTTTGTCGTAGCTTGAAACGCTTTTCAGAACCTCAAGAGTCAAGACTCTTATCTTGGAAACCTGGACCGGCTAGCTGTTATGGTTCAACTAACTTAACGATTAGAAACTTCAAAAGTAAAACTAGGTACGACGTCACAATTTGGTCAATGACGCCAGGTTTTTTATCGTGACGCCACATTTCTTCAGCTCGAACTTTATTAAAATTCCTTCGACCTCCAAAATGCTTTTGTTGAGCCACTAAATTTCAAATACCTTGAAAATACTGTCGTTCAAAGTATAAAAACAAGAGCGGAGACATTTTGGCGGTTATTTTCGTTCAAATCCACATCCTGGATTCTTGATTGTTACGTAAGAAAGGCGGCGGATAAAAGACAATTGTATATACTATTATGATATCACCATAGAGACAGACAAATAAAACAACATCCTATTTGCGTCAAAACAAGATTTTTGAGAAAATAAATTTTGAGTGTTCTTTTCAACAAGTAATAATGGCTGTCAACACAACAATACAAGGCTTCAAATCAGCCCTAAGTGAAATTTATCGGCCGAAATATAGGGTGTCCATATCGTCTTGATTTTTTTTTTAAATCGCAAAGGAAATTTATCGATACCCGATAGTGTTTTGGCCGCCCAGATGTATTGAATGAAGCAAAAATATTTAAACAATTACTGATTAAAAAACAACAAACCTGGTTAAAGTATATTGAGAACTGACTTCATAACAAAATTGAAATTGTAAAGAGACTTTATGGACACCCTGTAGTATACGACAGAATGTTGGCGTGAGCCTCAGTTTTATGACGTATGGTTTTCCATCGATAGTTGTCACACTTGGCTCAAGGCGTACTACTTCGTATAGGAACACTCAGAAGTAACGGAGACTCTTCAGAAAATATCTTATTACAACCACATTTTGAAAATTTTTAGAAATAATAACGGCCATCTAAACAACAGTAATCTGTAATTTATAACGTATTTAAAAATAGGTGCTATAGGCTGCATGCACGAATTAAAAAAAAAATTGTACTTCAGGCAGGAAGGAGACGCCGAAAACCAACTCTGGTTATCGAGCGGCCACACCCTTTAGCAGTGGTTCCCAAACTTTTTCAAAAAAAATTCAAAACGGACCCCATGCAATTTTTTCAATGACTCCCGGCCCTGTGCAATAAACATTTAAAAACGAACGAAAATTATGATAAGAAGTTTAATGAGATGGGTGCACTTGTTTCGTTGAAATTATTTCATCTATTTTGGGTTGGGTTTCGGAAAGCGCAACTCTCATATCATGCGTGACATCCAGTCTGTTTCGGTATTTTGTTTTGATATGGAGTAGAGTGGAAAAAGCTGCCTCGCACTCGTAGGTTGTGGCAAAGGGAATGAGCACTTTCAAAGCCATTTTTGCAAGATCTGGATAAGCCTGCGTCATTGCTATCCAAAAGTCACTGCAACACATTTCACGGTGAAGATTTTTTGCACTTCCATCATTAATCATATCAATAAACTGTTCTTGAATCTGATTGTTTGTAGAAGGTAAATCGTCCAATTTGAGTCCAAATAGAGCGTTGATGAAACGATCAACTTATTCAAAGTCCTGTAAATCCGGAAAATAATGTGTAATTTCTTCACTGAGAATTGAAACGTGGGACTTCATAACTTCGATTATATCGTCGCTTATTTGAAGTTCATTCTCATCCAAATATCCATTGAGATGTGGAAAAGGAGCAAGTGTTTTTTTGTCTAATTTAGAATGCCACAGTGAGAGCTTCATATTAAAAGCCGTCAACTTTTCATGGCAGTGGATCACGTTTACTTCTTTGCCTTGCAGTGCCAGGTTGACAGAGTTAACAGATTCAAAAATGTCGACCAAAAACGACAGGAACATCAAAAAGCGATCATCAGAAAAGTTTTTATGCATTTCTGGTTTTACGTCACGTAGAAATTCGTGTATTTCCTTTCGCAAAAGAAAAACTCTTTTCAGCATTTTCCCCTTCGAAAGCCATCTTACACGAGTATGCAACAAAAGCCTCTCGAACACTGAATTGCTTTCTTTGCACAAATCCGCAAAAAGACGCGAATTAAGTGCATTTGCTTTTATAAAATTTACTGCTTTGATAACATTGTCAAGAACATGTGATTATTCATACGGCATTGTTTTAACCATTAACGCTTGGCGGTGAATAGTGCAATGAATACCAACGACGTCCGGGGACTTCTCTTTTACCAAAGTTTGAAAACCAGAGCGACAACGAAGCATCGCTGGAGCTCCATCGGTGCACACGCCGACAAGGTTTTTCCATTGGATATTATGTTCCCCAAAAAATTCATCAACCTTGCGAAATATGTGTTTTGCCGTAGTTTTTGTGTCAAGGATTTTGCAAAACAAAAACTCATCCTCCAAATGTTCTTCATGAATGTAACGGGCATATATGCAAAGTTGAGCTAGATTAGCGACATCTGTTGTTTCGTCAAGCTGGATTGCGAAAAAGTTGAACTTTGAATTTTGTATCTTTGTGACTACTTGTGACAGTATGTTATTCGAAAGTTCAGCAATTCGCCGACTTACAGTATTATTTGACAGGGATACTTGGTTCAGTTTTTCAACTTCAGACTCACTCATCAAATTCGACATTATAATTTTGCAGCATGGCAGGATCAACTGTTCGCCGATGTTGTGGGGCTTTTTGGCAATGGCTATTTCTCTCGAAACTTCATAGGAGGCTTTTAAAGCAGCTGTATTTTCCTTAAAAAACTTTCCCATGCTATCAAATCTAGAATTTTGACCATGACGTTTGAAGAAGTCTGCACCTTTGTCCTTCGAATTTGGATGATGCGTTTCCAAGTGTCTCTTCAGTTTGCAAGGCTTTCGTGAAGAGCATGCAAACACTTTATGGCACAAAACGCACTGCGGTTTCTCTTCTCCGCCTGCGCTTATCACGATAAACCCGAACTTTACAAAAGATTCGTCGTAGCTCAATCTCTTTTTAGGCGGCATCTCGAACTTGATATTACAAAGCTGAACACGTAAAAATATAGGCCTGCCGTTTTTCGCTATGCTCTACTTACCTACAATTTTAGGCTATCTATCTGAAATACCTTTCAAATGAAAATTATAAAACAGCATTCAGATGCGTACTAACATAACTTCGTAAGCTGCCTACTGTAACTCCACCCTGTACCAACAAACATGCAAAAAGCATAGTCAGCTACATCCCTGCAGTTAGTTTACATGTAATGACAGCAATTCGACTCTCTCTTCTATATCACAGCACACAGCTCTGTGACATCAAAATGGGGCAGCGTGCTCGGAGCAGAAAGTGAAAAATCAGTGTCTATAGCAGTGATTGCATAGAAGCAAATAGAGAAAAATGTATATTTGCAAATTTAAGAACTTGATTTTTGTATAACCCATAGATATGAGCCAGATTTCCTTCGCGGACCCTCGGCAAGTGCTTCGCGGACCCCAAAAAGTCCGCGGACCCCAGTTTGGGAACCACTGCTTTAGACAGTCTAACACAGGGTCGTCCAACCCCATATGTGGCCCGCGGAAGCGTTTCGAGTCGCCCGTTCATTTTTCAGAATTGAATAAGAAATTGAGTAAGACTATTATCCGAGTGATGTAGTATACAAAGATGTGATACAAACGATTTGTTTATTATCCTGAAATGCGCTTGAGTTCCATTTTGAGTCGAAACCAACTGGGAGGAGATATCGATACATAAAGGTGCCATAGTCGCTTACACATTTAGTCTTTTTTATTGCAAAAGCGGGAATATTTTAATCGTATTCCTTGGCGCATGACGAAAGCACTTACATCAAGGTTACTGCTCAGTTGGCAATCTTCCTGCTGGGAGTTAATTGTGATTTTGAAATTACCGAAGAGCTCGCAGCCATTGTTGCTATTAAGAGTACGACTGGAGGATTTGATTTGTTGGAAGCTGTGATGAAAATGAGCAAGTGTCTTGGCGAATCTTTCGGAAATAACCACTGATGGCGCCCAATGAATGGTTGGGAAACAACAGTTTTATTGTTCTAATTGTGAAAGTTTAGTGTGAGGGTACTGTTTTTTTTTATTAACCTGTAGTCAGTGTATCTAAACTAGAACATAACTACCATGTTATGTGGCCCGCGCAATCATTCGTAAACTACATGTGGCCCTTCGACCAAAAAGGTTTGACGACCCTGACTAACAGAACACGATAAATAGAATGGAGACGAACAAAATATGTTATTTGAAAATAAAACAATATGTTTACCAAAGCAATTTAGTATATGCCAAGCAGTCGCCGTTTCAGCACAGGAAAGTGCACTCTAATCACCATGGCAAAGCAATATATAAGAGAAAGCGTGATATGATGACGAATGGTTTTCAATTTACTTTTGCGGACAAATACTATTCTTAGCCGAAATTAGTTTTAAAGGTTAATTATTTCAAATACAATAACTCTATAGAAACTTCGAAAAAATAAAACCATAAGCGACTTTTTCCATCTTCAAGTACTCCGTTGGTTTTTGAGTTAGAGAGGAAAGCGAATTTAGCAAGCAAGAATTTAGCAAAATCATCCATTGGTCCAATTCGTGTACAGTAATAAACAATAAATCTAAATATGTACAATCCCGATCAAATATATGGACAATATAGGCGTATGCGTGTAAGGCTCAGTTTGATGAAGTGCTTTTTCATGGATATTCACCACACTTGGCTCAAGGTGAATTACCTCTTTGTATACCTCACATCAGGGGTCGGGAACCCATGGCGAGCCATATATGGCTCTTTTGGTGAAGGCATATAGCTCCCAGAAATATCCAAGGCTAAGCTTACTATTGTTATCAGTTCTCAAACTATAAAGTTCTTGCAAAATTTCGCAGAACATTTGCCAATGTACGTTGGGAACACGCGCTCAACGCCTCTCTATGTTGTGGTAAAACAAGTGCCACACAAGCATTGTGACAAAACTAGGGGATTCTGAAACATATTTTGTGACATCACGAAGCGATGGACCTTTCCCCGAGCATCGACTTCCTTGTTTACTTCGTGACATTGGCCAATCCACAAGATGCAAAAGGTGACGTAACAATGCTCCCTTTTCGCATCCGCTCAGACAGATTTTCGAGCGTGGTCGTAAACAATACCTCGTTTCCGCGTTTTTGAACCCTGTTCGTTAGTTTTCAGTTGTGTTTCGGAAACCTAAATATAAATCAGATAATTCAATGATCACTCTGTCTTCCTATGAGTTTTAATTTAATTGCAGTAATAAAAATTTAGTGTAGAAATAGCTGTGATAGACTAGGCTAAAATTGTTTACCGGTACTTTTAAAAAACAGATTGTTTTATGCGATGAAACACATACCAAATTTCACAGGCGCCAGCTCGCAAAAGCACTCTTAAAATAGCCCCGAAAACTTTGCAATGGTAAAGTATAGAGGACTTGCACGGGTCACGTGACATTGTTACTGGACGGCAATAAAACAAAAACGTCCATTTGGCTCCTGTCAGTTGCGAGTCGGATTATACGTTCGCGTTTTGTTTGGTTGTTGAAAATGGTTATTTCGTTGTTCTGTTGGCTGTACGTATAGTATAGACATGGACGAAATGGATCTTCAGTTATATTCCACTGATTTCAAAAGATCCTGAACGTCGCGCAATGTGGATATCATCTATTGCCTATTGGCCGAACTGCTTGGTGTCAAGTCCAGAAGCCATCTTACTTGTGTTTCACTGTTTGCGGACAGCACTTCATTGATGGTGAGTGATAGTGTGCCGTTATCAATTTCTTTAAATATTCACAAGCTCCCTCATTTCAATATAAAGCAGATGACAAACTACTGTTATTAGTAGGCCTAGGCGTAGGCCTACTTGCAGTTGCAGACTTGAATTGTGTAAGACAGTAAGGAATTAATAATCAATAATCTAATAATCAACTACTGTTATTATTAGGCCTCGTTGCAGACTTGACTTGTGTAAGACAGTAGGGAATTAATCTAATAATCAACTACTGTTATTAGTAGGCCTAGGCGTGGGCCTACTTGCAGTTGCAGACTTGACTTGTGTAAGACAGTAAGGAATTAATAATCAATTGCTGTAAGGTATTGTTTCCTGATTAGCAGGCAATCTATTACTAAGTGTGAAAGGTTGAATAGATAACTAAAGTTTAACACCACTGGTCATGCAAAAAATAACCAGAATTCAATTTAATTCGCCATCTAGGAATACGCTCGCCACCGCATCTCTGATCACCTGGTAGTTTCACAGGTTTCAATCCCATGCGGGGATAGTTATGTGCTAGAGGATTGCAGCTCCACTCCCACCGAGGGTGGTTCACATGACCGCTGATCGGTTACGACCATTCCCTACCATCCAAGTCCATGCTTCTGAAAACAAATAACTGGCTCCCCCCCAGATAAATCCTATCCTAATGGTGCTTGTACAACTGATTCAAAATGTCTTTTTATTGTCATTGGTAAAAAAGATATGCTACCCGGAATCAAATTCATTTACGACTAGTGGCTGTGGTAGGATATGGACATAAATTTCACCCCGGCTGGGCATTTCGAATCGAATAGTAAATTATTCGAATCGGTTCAGACTGGAATTTCGAATTGCCGCCATCTTGTTTTTATCTTTCCGCTAATGGTCGAGGTGAATTCCCCAATTTTTTTTTCATTGAAGTCATATTTTTTCAACGAAATTCTAACATATGACTATTTTCTGTAGTGAGTTATTGATAAAACGTGTTTGTTATTCTGTGTGAACGCTCAGTAATCTATCTGAGTGATTTATTCTATGTCTTCAGTTGTTCATTTTGTTATCAATTACTATGATAAAGTCGCTTACAATTTTATATTTTCATTTCAAGTATTCGAGATTCGATTCGAAAAAATTATTCGATTCGATTCTGAAATCACAAGGTATTCGAAAATGCCCAGCCCTAAATTTCACACTCCTTGATCGTTAGATTTTATGAAAACTCTTATCTGTATCCATTATCTTACAGATATGGGTGCGACCATGGAATTGATGGATGGCAAAGTATAAGTTGCAACAAGACCACAGTGGCACAAGACCTCAGCTTGCGTGACTTGATAATACATCCTCAGTATCCATTTATTGATGCTTATCGTAATAACAAAGTAACTTGTCATTACTGTGGATTGGTGGAGATAAAGTGTCCATTGTGCTTTAACGAAATCAACTTCAAGACGACCCCATCAAGAAAAAAAAATTGTTTCGGTGGGTCTGGTCGTGAAGGTTTCAGTCTAACATTGGACACCGATACTACAACCAGATACAGTTGCCAATGAAACTTAAGCGAGGCGTAATATTGCGACTTTGTGATCTGAAAGGAAATTCTGATGGGTAGCCAGCTAGCCGCAGCCTTTTGTTTAAAGAATATTATGAGATACGACTTAAGAGCCTGAACTTTTATTTGAGAGGGCGTGTAACCCAAACTAATTTGCAAATAGTATTCATGGTACCAAATGTATCACACACTTTACAGTAATTATAAATTATATTTGAAAAATAAAGCACATCAAAAATGTATTTTTAAAAAACAATTGGTCTTATCTGCAGATACTGGGTTGATATTGAGATTGACCATTTCAATGCTAAATTTTCTTTAGTCAAAAGGCACACTTGATTCGCAAAAATTTGTGAATGCGCACAGTACACCAATTTGTCTAATGTTTTGATTCCATAGGCAATGCTAATGCTATTACAGGTATTACTTGTTTCACATGAATCCATCGTGCTCAGATTTGACTGTTTTCAAGGTCTGAGGCTCCAACAGCCTTATTTTATGGGTACACAAGAGAATTTTTAGTGTGGCATGCATGGGTCAGTTGGAGTCACTAACCTTAAGATATCTATAAGCAAGGATAAGATAACCTGGAAGTAACATTCCATAATTTAGAGTAAAAAATGTATCTGCCTCCACAGCCCTTTCAAATGGAAGATATGATGCCTCGGGGGTAATTTCTATCAAATATTTTACA